TTGTGACTGACTTGCACTAGCAAGGCGCATCGAATTATGCATTGCAAATAATGGAAATCATATTTAAATATAATTTCTTAACATTATAATTGAATAAAATTGTTTTGTTCTAAAGGTATGTATTTATCTCCTTTGACCCAGGCTTCGTGGACACCCTGTGTGTTCCAGAAAACTATTTGTTAAAAGTGAGCCTTCTGTTTTTTGGAGAAAAAAGTGCTTAACTTTTCGCATACAACATCCTCGCGAGTTCATTGGAAGTGTGGAGACAAGTATGAATGTGTTCTGAGGGAAAGAAGCTTACTGTTTAGTTCGAAAAACTAGTCACGCTCGTACTTAAAATAATACATAAAATCAAGATATTATGTTTCTTGCCCTTATTATCCCGAGCAGAGGTCATTCGCAGCAAAATTGATAACATTTGACAAGGTCTATATTAATATTACCTAAAGATAAATTTAACTTATTTAAGTCAAGAAAAGAGTGTCTAACTCCGGCTTCTCGTGACCTGTATTTTTCCAGAAGGCTGGGAGTTTCCATTCGCAAAAATTACTTGATCGCGTTATGGTTGTCGTGCGTCATTGTCATCGTTGCAATCAGCTTCAAGTAAACTTGTTTTTTCTTCAAAAAGCCTGTATTCAGATGTTCATAGTGCTTGGTTAGATCACGCATGTGATATCGTTAAATGCGTGTCTGATGTCCGACTTATCACGCCTTCAGAGAGAATATGTTTGCAGTATACTTCAGATTACATCACAGCACAGGAGTTGTACAATTCGATGAAGCCACCGAAGCCATCGGAAATGCAGCTTCTAATGCGAAAGAGAAAGGAGCATATAAGTTGCGAATGGTGCTAAGGTTAACCATTCACTCTTGGGTATAGTCGCCTAGTACTCCTTCGTGGTTTTCATCTTCTATTTAAGGCAATTCGACTTTATTCCACTAACTTAGAGCAGAAATTTGCATTCAGGTTGTCAGTTAGGCTGAAAGCGCGCGCAAGTTGAATCATTCTATGCCTGACCTACAACACGATGTCGTTAATTAAAGCTCCTGGTGTTATCTATGTTCTAGGTAAAACGTTCCTTATTAACATGCCCTGTGCCGAATGTTGGCAGCTGGAAGAATTATTAGTTTCTTTGTACTGAGAAGCAAATTCCAATGGCTGCTCCTCAACATGCCCTCATAGGAAAATCCACAACATGAGCTCTGTGTTATTTACTTCTATTGCGCGTCAGCATAGGCGGTGGGGTGGGGGGGATTTTTTTCTAGGTTGGCAACTGAATCCCATCTACTTTTCACTCGTCTTGATTGCCACAAGTTTTTTGGATGCTTACATGACTCACTCATCCAATACTGCTCTGGGGCTCACTCTCGATCCCCGACAGCAGCCGCACAATGACTAGTATTATAGGCCGAAGAGCATCACCGGCAAATCCGAGGGAAACCAGATTGGCCATTTCTGGCTTATCCTCTGCTACAGCCGGCCACACCGAACACAGAGTCTCGATTAGAAGTCCAACACTCTTACTCACTGCGCTCTTGTCAGTTTCGATCGGGAATATTAACATTGGCGAATGGACGCTAATCGGTCAGTTACGGAACTCACTTGTCCTTTCGCCGATTTACCGGCTATGGCGGTGCGCTAGAAAGTTGTTCGATTAACAGAATAACTTATTCTTTCCAACTACAGTAGTCGCCGGTAATCAAGCCCACCTCGGGCCCAGACCAAAGTGGGCTTAATAAGCGGCGGGCGCACT